TCTCTCTCTCTCTCTCTCTCTCTTAAAAAGCAATAATTTATTAGCAAACAACAAATATATTTAATACTTTAATAATGCAAAAATTACTATTTTTATAAAATAATTTTGTTGACAAAATCATGAACAATGTGTTAATAATTAGCACAATCAAAAATATATCATCTCTCGATTAAAACATTACATACTAGATGTTATATAAGTGTCAACGGTAAGTCTGTAAATTATTAACAAGATCCAAATGTTACCATTTACATAAAAATGTTTTTTTAAACTGCATGCAAACAAAATGTTGTGATTTTTTAAAAGACATATTTTTAATAAAAATTATAGAAATTGTGTGAGAACTGAGAATGGTTAAATATATTGTTTAATAATATCTAACATTCTAATAATAGTATGTTATGAATTGCACTTAAAAGATAGATTAACTTATACTATAAAGTATTTGTGAAATTAAACAATATTAAGTAAAGAAATGTATTGAAATGAAATATATTGAATGCATTAAACATCTGGAATTTTACCCCCGGAACTGGAACACACATTTTAATTTTATAAATCCGATTGTACCCTAAAATACACTTGAACCCTGTACCTCGTTTTCTGGACGATTTACTATGATAGTATTTATATGAACAGTAATGATTAAATAGACGGTATTTTTTTATAATAGACGGTCTTTACAATTCATTTGCAATTCATTTGGACGTAAAACTAATCAAATCGATAATTATTTAATAACTTAGAAGTGATATAATTTTAAAGCAAAAATTTTTCCAATCTCGAGTAAAAGCACCTGGATTGTATCACATATCATAATATTTTATGTATTCTTTAAACATACAATAATAACATCAAGTATTGTATGTACTTAATTACACTATACACTGTATAAAAGACACAAATTTCACCATCATTATTAATTATTATGTTGATTAATAAAAAATAAACATAAAATGAATTTAAAATCATATTTAATTATTTTTGCCATTTCTTTATTTAAAGTCAAAGCGGTTGAGGGTATGATACAATTCAGTTTAAAAAACTGTAAAATAATAATACTTTTATGTGAAATGCCATAATAGATGTATTGCCAGCCGTACCACTGGTGGTGAAGAGTCCATACCTGTCCACTTGGATGACTGGCCGACAACTGGCCGGTGAGTGGACGCGGTTTTATACCGGAGCCATTACAGGTATGGCAGGTATGGTTCGGGTTGACGGACAGACCTATGAGTTTATGGGTAAACCCTCCGCCGATGTCATGGAAATACAACGAGTCGTACAGTCAGGTCTTCGCGTGACTCCAACCCAATCGGTGTTCACATTCACTGCCGGACCCATAGAACTGGTCGTAAACTTCTTCACTCCTATCGATCCGACAGATCTCAAGCGTCTGTCACTTCCGGCCTCTTATATATCAATGAGCGCCCGATCTATGGATCAGAAGACACATGAAGTTCAGGTATATCTCGATATGTCTGGAGAATGGGTCGCCGCAGACGCTAATCAAGTGGTGGAGTGGGATGTCATGGAAGTGAAGGGCAAAACAAATCTAATTAATGGTAACTTTAGACTCAAAGATCAAAAAGAATTTGCAGAAAATAGAGGTAAGAATTAAAATTAATTATTTTTAATCATTTGTTTATTTAATTATTATAAATACTTAATTAGATTTAGCCCAATGGGGAACTATGAAGTTTTTCACCGACTCGACCGCTACACACGAGGTATAAGTTACACTGTGGGTATTATGTTATGTTTTTAATTGCTAAATTGTGTGTTACCTGTATTACGTGTTTAGGCCAATCCCTGTAAGACAATGCGTCAAAAGTTTGTAAAAACCGGTAAACTCGACAATACTGTAGACAAGAATTATCGCAAAGCATCAGACAATTGGCCGGGCATTGGTTTTGCGCGGACACTGACCGCCGGCGTCACTCATACGGCGGCAAACACTGTGTATTACGGCGTCGCTCACGTCAGACGACCGGCCATTGAGTACACGGACTCACATCTGAACCAATTATGGGAAAGTTATTTCAATGGAGACGACAAACAGATGATTGACTTCTTCTATGAGGACAGAGAGGACGCCCTCCGGAGGGCNGCTCACGTCAGACGACCGGCCATTGAGTACACGGACTCACATCTGAACCAATTATGGGAAAGTTATTTCAATGGAGACGACCAACAGATGATTGACTTCTTCTATGAGGACAGAGAGGACGCCCTCCGGAGGGCCACAGCTTTGGACAAACATATTGTGACCGACGCTCAGGCGGTCGGCGGCGAGAGTTATGTTAAGGTTGTGTCCGCAGCTCTTAGACAGGTATTTAGACATTTATCTTTGTGTTAAAATGTATTAAGTTTTTGATATGTACTATGTAGAAATGAAAAAATATTTTTTTTATGAAATACTATTTTAATATAATAATAAGGCTTACGGAGGGGTAGAAATGGTTGGCACAGTTGACAAGCCATGGATGATGTTTAAAGAGATCGCATCGGATGGTAATTGTCAAACAGTAGATGTGATTTTTCCCCACTTTCCAGTTCAGCTATATTTCAACCCAACTCTTTTGAAATACCTTTTGGATCCACTGCTCGACAATCAGGAAAGAGGTTTCTTCCCATTGAAGTATTGCATACATGACTTGGGAACACATTATCCGCAATGTATTGGACACAGAGATGGGGTTCAAGAGGACATGGAGGTGGAGGAGAGCGCCAATATGTTGATCATGATGTCAGCCTATGTCAGGGCAACCAATGATACAGAGTTTGCCAAAAATCACTACAAGATTGCCAAGCAATGGACACAGTATTTGGTCGATCACGGGTTGATCACAGGTATAGTGTTTAATCGTAATAAACTAACATAATAATTAAAATAATTAATAATAACCTTGATAAATTTAGGTGACGCTTTGACAACCGACGACTTTTTGGGTAAATTTAAAAACTCAACAAACCTCTCGGCCAAAGCTATTATAGGCATTGGAGCGATGGCACAGTTGGCTGAAGTGACCGGCAATGAGGCGGACAGACAACAGTACAGGCAAACTGCTGAGAAATACGTCACTGAATGGATCCGTTTGGGTGAAGACCCGTCTAATAAACACATTAAACTGAGTTATAATACGGCCAACACGTGGTTTATGATCTATAACTTATACGCCGATATCCTATTGGACACCAAATTAGTACCCGAATCGGTTTGTTATCCCAAAACTTGATCTAGTTTGGGCTATATTACTAACAACCTTAACTTTCCCTATAGATCTACAAACAACAGGACGAGTGGTATCTACAGGTGATGGACGTCTACGGTCTGCCATTTGGTACCGATAAAGAGGGGACACTGTTTGGTTGGATGATGTTTACGGCGGCCGCGTCTGGCAATACAAAACTGCGACAAACAATGTTTGATCGGACGGCCAAATGGTTGCGCGAAACGCCGTCCGGAGCGCCATTTCCCGACTATATAAACACCTCTAACGGCAACGTTTTACTCAATTTTATCAATCGGCCCGTTATTGGTGGTCTATTCGCGCCGTTGACTCTTAAACATTAAACATGTTTTTAATTAAAATATTATTTTTCCTTATTGTAAACCAATTTTTAAAACATTGTGAACATTGTATTTAGATTACAGAATATTCAACATTACCTAACAATGTATCTAATCTATAAATAAAATAATAAATACTATTAAAAATTAATAATAATTTAATAATAAATCATAAAGTCTTTCAATTTAATGTAAACAAGGATCACACAGCGATGCTAACATCGGGACATATATTCCGCCATAACTTTCGCCGAATA